GAGAGAGAGAGAGAGAGAGAGAGAGAGAGAGAGAGAGAGAGAGAGAGAGAGAGAGAGAGAGAGAGAGAGAGAGAGAGAGAGAGAGCTTTGCATTTGATGGCTTCACAAGCTCAGGCAGTTTGCTTTTTATCTGTCTAAACTGATTGCAGCCACTGGAGATGATTCCTGATCCGCAAGAGGAGAATGAGTTTCCGAAGAACATTGTGGTGAATGGGGACTTTCAAAATTGTACACATGGGTGGTATGCATTTGGGCCATGCACTGTGACTGCAACCTGTACAGATGATCGCCACGGCAATTGGTTCCTTACACAGCCCCAAGCTGTATCATGCTCGTCATATTACCTGAAGACCTCAAATCGCACTGCTAATTGGCAGGGCCCGGCACAGGATATCACAGAGAGAGTGAGACCAAAGCAGCCTTACTGCACTTCCGCATGGGTTAAGATCTCTGGAAAGTGCACTGAGCTTGTCAGGATGTCTCTGAAGATTGTAAATGGTGGGGACCCAATTTACATCAACATCGGCGAGGTTGAAGTGGATGGAAGGTCCACTGAATGGACGGAACTTCTTGGTTCATTTCGTCTTGAGGGTGAAGTGCACACTGTCATCCTTCTCTTTCAAGGTCCACCTTCTGGAGTTGACCTCAGTGTAACTGAGGTCAAGGGTTTTGCAGTGGACATCCACAAGAGACGGAAAGAGCTTCAGGCTCAAACAGATAAGGTCAGTGAAACTGTGGTATCCAATTGAAGTTCTGAAGAATCACATATCACCACACAACTTCTCAATTCCCCCACCCTTCTATCTTGTCTGCTTCTGTGCTTAGTGGGACGCTGGAACCTGATGTGTGGAGTCTGTCTTGTTTGTGTGTAGTGTCCCCCTTGTTTGGGTCTTGGTTGAGTCTCTAGGGATTGCAATAGGCCAGAAACAGGCTCCTTTTGTTTTCCCTGCCTCTGTGGTAGGTGGAATACAGTGGGTGATTGGATGGACTTTGGTTTGCTTGCCTGTCGCTTCGGCTGGTGGTAAATACGACTCAGCAATGGCTGCAGGGGTTGTAATGCTGCTTGGGCCTTTCAGCCGTAGTGGTGCTAGAGTGGTGGGGATACGGGAAATGACGGTGGGGTGAGTGACAAGGACGTGTTTCGGCGCTACCATGATTGGGATATGGGAATGGGGATCCCTTGACACTGCCGCTATGGCGACAGGGTAAGCAAAAGTATTTGCCTCCAGGAGGTTTGGGGACTGGAGCGAGGCCCCTCCTGGGTCCACGGGGAGGGTGGGATAGGGGGGTCCCATGGAGGGGGATCTCCTTGGGGAAGGCGAGGGGGGGGGGCTAGTGGGGAGGGAGGGCTGCAAGGGAAACAATTATTGTGCACTTGATCTTGAGGCGAAGCATGATCTGATTAGGCCTATTGGATGGATCAGGGAACAATGTGAACAGAAGAAACAGGTAAAACTTTGGGTGAGTAAGCAGGAAGCCAAGGGGGGGAGAGGGAGAAGAAAAGGTAAGGTAGCAGGAAGGTGGTCTGTGGAAACAAGTGTGCGATGCCAGGGTACCAATGGGTCTCTCCTGGTTACACGCGGTGACTATACAAGTGTGCGATGCCAGGGTACCAATGGGTCTCTCCTGGTTACACGCGGTGACTATATGCCGCTTTCTTTTGCACAAAGGACCTTGATTTTTTAATTTGCTTGACGGTGCGGAGCAGCCGGACTGACCCTCCTCAGAATAGAAGGGGCACCCGTGTGAATGTATGGTTTATTGAAAAAAAGAAAAAAGTAGGTACCCAAACGGGAACAGCGTTATAAGGACGGTGAGGGGCTTAGGGTAGCTTCCAGAGTCTTTTTGACATGAGGGATGTAGTGTCACGATAGGTTGCACGGTCGCCTCCCCGTGACACTTCCCCCTCACGGGATGATTGGCGAGTCCAGGCCCTGCCGCGTGTGTTCCTGGGGCTGGACAGGCTCGATACCCCCCCGCCCCCCCCTCCTCCTTTGTTTTCTGCCCCTCTTCTGACACTCTGTACCTTGCCTTTCAGCTTGCCGGGGATGGCCAACCGGACTGTCGACCCCCAGAATAGATGGGGCTTGTGTGTTGTTTAAAGAAAACGATACACAAAGGCAAAGTATGATCTCATTGGGCTTATTGGACGGATCAGGGAACAATGTGAACCTAGGGTGAGTGAAGTAGGTAGCCAAACGGGAACAGCGTTACAAGTCGTGTGGGATTTTCTTCTTAAGGTGGGGGGGGGGGGGNNNGGGGCTTAGGGTAGCTTCCAGCGTCGTTTTTTTGACAGGAGGGATGGAGAGCCACACCAGGGTACATGGTCGCCTCGCGGTGACACTCGCCCCTCTTGAGATGATGGGCGAGTCCAGGCCCCCTAGCCCTGCCGCATTTGTGCCTGGCGAGTCGGGGCGGGCATTTTCGAGCCTTGCTCCACCACTCACCCTATGCACGAAGTGTTACGATCCTGGCCAATTTCGGAGTACAAATTCACAAGAAAGCACAATGCCGTCCAATTGCAAAAAGAAGTGGATGAACTTGACAGGGGAGAGAGGGAAAGAAGAAGAGGAACAAGAAAGAAGAAGAAGAAGATGTACACCAGCAAAGACCAATGATAATCCCCCTTCCTCTCACCAACCAATCTCCTCCTCCTTGTCTCCTCCCCTCTTTATTCAAACAATAAATAATAATAATGATGATGAATGGCCAAACCAGAATCAATGTCCGAATCCCTCTTCTACTGCAGGCACAACATGAGGTCCACCATAGCCATGGCCGCCCTTCTCCCTCTTCATGAAGGCTGAGGCTATGGCGGACTACTAGGGCCTTGCCCTCACGTGCAAAAGACAACACAAAGCAGCTATGGCTGCTCCTACTCAGGCCACCATGCCTGACTCTGCCTCGAATTTCCTTGATGCCCGTCTACACCAACGGGGGTCTTCCAGATGCAGCGCCCACCAAGGTGATGAAGATGGCATACACCATAGCCACGTAAGTACCCCTGGCGCTCCTCTCCCCTAGGCCCCTTCTTCCTCCTCCTTCAGCCCAAGCTCCTCCACCATAGCCAAGGTGGAGAGCTGGGTGCTCCTCCTTCCCCGACAGAGCTGCTCCACCACGCTCTCCAGCAGCGTGTCGTCCAAACTTGCACACAGCAAATGAGGAGGAGCAATTTGCTCCTCCTGGATATATAGCGGCCGACTTGCCTCTTGGGCGGCGTGTCGTNCTTGGGCGGCGTGTCGTCCAAACTTGCACACAGCAAATGAGGAGGAGCAATTTGCTCCTCCTGGATATATAGCGGCCGACTTGCCTCTTGGGCGGTGATTTCCAGGCCGCGCGGCCTCCAAGCAACCGGTACCTCCTCCCTTTCGGAGGGAAACACCATTGCAGCCTCTGATATCACTCGTACAGGCCCTAGACTCAGACTACTTGGACTGGTACCAGCCTAGACCTAGCCTACAGCTACTGGGCCCGTCTAAAAATGCCAACTTTTGTTTTCTTCTGCTCGGCCTCCAGTCCCTGACACATCTGCTACCGGCCTACCTGCTACTTGAGTGTTTTTCCCGCTGCTCTAAGTGTCGTGGGCCTCCGCCTGCTTCGAAAGTCTTTTCCCCACTGCAACCCTCAATGTCACGGTACGGGCCCTACGGGGCCTCCCAAGCAAGCAAGTACCCTTGCGGGTCACACACACACTCAAGCCGCCAAACACTCAGACAGGCATGCAGACCAGCAAGCACGCACACACCAGACTTAGAAAACTCAGCAGAAAGCCGGAATCTCAGCAAGGCATTCATTCCAGCGGCAAAACTCGGAAATCAGCTGTGTTCTCAGTCCACGTTTGGGCAGGTCCTTACAGAAGGACAAAAACTATGGTGGTGCATCTTGCCATGTTCGCAATGAAGATTCATCCTGAATTCGCACATCTGTGAGTGGTGGAGAGAGGCCTTTTGCCACATGGCCTTGCTGGTGCATTGCAAACGCCACGTAGGTTCTTTTTTTTTTTTCCTTCCATAAAACAGGTCCTGGACTCCTGGCTCCATTTCCATTCTGGGGAGCATCAGTCCGGTTCCTATTCCACCGGCAAGTCCGAACAGAGTATTGCATCATGAAACACACTCACGCTGCCTTCCGTCTGGCCGAGGAATCCTGACCAGCATTGATTACTCCAGCATTTTGGAGGATTGACTGTCAGCTTGCCTTACTTCCACCTTTCATCTCAGGTCACTTTATGAACCTGTCAGATAAGTGATAAAGAGCAAATTTGCCCTTCAATATTAGGTGGCCTGTGACAGATCTTGTCCATCTGCTGGCTGGGATCTCTGCCTTCTCCACCCTGCTTCTGAGTTGTGCCAGTCTTTCCACCGTATGTGAACGTCGTTTATCTCTGCTTTTTGCCGCCTGCGAGCGGCACCTTAGTGAGTTTTGCCTTGATTCTTCTCTGTTGCTCCTCGTCATCTGGCATAGAGTGTCTCATCTTATGCCATTTACAAAGAATCTCTGCCTAAATCAAGGTCCTTGTCTCCGCACATACCTTCTCCCTTGGAGTTGAGAGCCCCTCAATGGTTCTGCAGCACCTTTCCTTCCAGATGGACCACAGCGTTACCTTTCTGATCATTCGAGCCGCGTTTTTTGTCTTGTGGAATTGAGCTGGGATGTTAGTCCATTCGAGTTGGATGGGGTGTTCAGGGAAGGGAGTCAAGAAGAGGGAATCTCAGATATCCGAGGCCCTCGCCCAATATTCCGTCACCTCTCTACAGCGTATCAGGCAGTGTAGCATACCTTCTGGTTCATTTTCTGAGCATACCGCACACAAATCTGAACTGTTGGGGTCATTCTTATTTCTTCTGATATGCAGCCACTGGTTAACCGGTAGAGCCACGTATGAGATGAGCCATTGGAGGCTTCTGATTTTGACTGGACGGATTGACTTGAATTCTTTCCATGGTATTTGTGGGATCTGGCTAGCATCCTGACCTATTAACTTCTGCCATCTGTTCTTGATCGTTGGGTCGGGATCCTTTGTTTTGAGGAGTAAGTTATATGGGTATATTCGTTTTGAGACTTCTGCTTCTGTCTGGTGTCCAGGCCCACTCTGTTGTATCAAATTCCAAGTCTTGAATGGCCGTATCTATTCTGAAGATTGTATTTGGCCATGATCCTAATACTATTTATTTTATTTTATTTTTTAAACAGAACCTCTTGGTTCTGGCTCCTACCATTCTGGGGAGCAACAGTCCGGTTCCTACTCCCCCGGCAAGTCAAATTGGAGTACATAAAAACATACGCACGCTCCTCCCCATTATGGATGGGAGGCCCGAGTAGGCAGCATTGATTACTTCCGTGAGGAAGGATGTGCCACCCCTCCCCCCTACCTATACTATCCATATCCTACTTCGTCTATCCTACAATCATCTTGCCCTGCTAAGCCTTTTCCTCTTAGGCGGAATAAATTGACCTGCCATACGGCTCGTGAATACCAAGAAAAGCACTTACCTGCTTCTCCCTATGCTACCCTGACCCCATATATTACCTATCCGGTCTCTTACACCCTACTTACCTTGAATTACTCCATCCCTTGTCCTCTCTCATCTCGATTCTTTCCCAATTAACTGCAACCCTTAAACTGTAAACCCTCCCTGTTTTCCCGCCGACTACCACCCTTAAACTGTAAACCCTCCCTGTTTTTCCGCCGACTACCACCCTTAAACCCTAAACCCTCTCT